TATCATTACAATATATGCCTTTTAATATATCAAAAAAAGTCAAACTTCCGCACCTGATCCTTCGGGCCATTTTGAAGGTACAGTCTTCCTCCCCTTGTGGATTCGAAATTCGAATCCCACCGTTGCCACTTTGTTTAAAAAAAAAGAAGTCAAACTCCCAAATTTATCCTCTAAATAAGGAGACAGGACAAATCTTTTTTTTTTTTTCTAAACATAGTAAAGATAAATTATCCATCTAAATCATTGATTGAGACAAATAACCTAGTATTTAATAGTTTACCTGATTAATGACACTAACCATTAAATAATAAGTTATTTGCTAGGATAGACATTTTAGAAAAATAATTTATCTTTTTTTTTAAGGGACAAATATGTTCTTACCTCTATTTGTGAGATGGATTTAGTAGAACTCAAATTATTAAGATGACAGTGTAAGCATAAAACTTAAAAAACCACTAGCAATAGATGAAGTGACCAATATTACATGTAAGTCCATAAATTTCTCTTAATTGCTCGACGTGGGGGTTTTCTCCTTGGTATTAAAGTGCTAATATTACATTTTGAAAGGTGGATGGTAGCTAGGCTCACATGCATAGTCCAAAGAGAAAGACAATTGAGCAGAAACTGATAAAGAATAATATAAATGTGATAGGGATTGAAAAGCTACCTTAATTACATATATATATATATATACACACACAGAGCTTGGGTTAATTAATTTCTTCCTTCGTTCACATCTGAGATCTGATCGAATGTTAAATAGGCAGTTCATCTCTCATGGATGCATGGACTTGACAGAGAAATGGAAAGAAAGGAAAGAATGAAACTGTGACATTGGGATTTCTAGCTCAAGCATGAACGTTTTGAGGGAAGCAGAGCAGGATCATCATAATAAATGTATATATATCAGACTGTTTTTATTAAAGTTGAGCTGTTGAGATGATGATAGGCAAGAGTGTGACATTTAATGTGTTGTGCATTGAATAATCTGTTCCTGATTAACTAACAATTGATTTAAAAAAAAAAAAGAGTTCCTACTAAACATATGTAGTACAGGAGTATAGTACAATTTTTTTTTTTTTTTTGGTACATAGTATAGTATAGTACAATTAACTAGACGGTCCAATCGTTGAAATAAGGAACTAGGGAAGAGAAATCCAGTTTGCAGGGCAGGGAGGCATGTAATGTGACTGTATATGTTATTAGAATAGTATTTATTCGTTTTATTTTTTAAATAATAAAAAAAATATTATTTTAAAATTATATCATTTTAATAAATATTTATTGAAAAAATTAAAATCTCATATTTTTAAAATATGAATTAAAGTGTTTTTTTATTTTTTTATTTTTTTTAAAATAAGATGAATAAATATTAATACCATATATTATTATTATTGTTATATAGCGTTGGGATGCACTTACTCGGTGTGTAAGTCCTACATAAATTGAGGCAGAACCGTCACGGAAGTGGCAGGTAGCATTCCTTCAACGTGGGCACGGAAGATAATTTTCCTGTTACCAAACTTCGCTGGTGCCAATTAACCTGGACCAGTCAAATCACTGAAATAGGGAGGAGAAATGTAAATGAACAGAGTAAGATCAGGAAGAACCCACGAAAGATTAATTTAGTTTTGTTATGTAATTATGAATATTTAGGTATTAATTTGTAATTTTAGAGAAAATATGTAACTTTAGGATATTTTTAACTTCCTATTTTAAGAAAAGATTTTTCATCCTGTACTCTAAGACATAAATTAAGAGTGAAATAAAAATATATTTTTTTATAATTAATTTACATAAAAAATAATTAAAATTACTTGAATTTAATCAATTAACTAATTAAAACTAATCACATAACAATGACATTAAAATAAAAGTTAACTTTTATAATTTTTTATGCAAATTAATTGTAAAAATGTACATTTTTAACACTATTAAATACATTAATTGGACAAAATCTTTAAGAAAATACATATTTTTCTTTGGAAAAAAATTGTTGAATGATATATTTTTTTTGAGATTCAAGTTTTATAGGACAAATTGTTCATTAAAAGTATAGTTTGTCTTATGAATTTATTTAAATATCTTTAATAAAATAATATAAAAAATAATTTTATTAAAAATAGTTAAATAATTTTATAAGACAAATTACATTTAATATATTGTTTGTCCTATAAAATACTTTCTTGTATCTTTTTTTTGGGACAAATTGTTGAGCAATAGCTTTTGCTAAACTTACTAATATTTTCTTTTTCTTTATTGAATATGAGGATAGGATTCGAATCCCATACTTCTAATAGAATAAGATATAACTTGTAAGAGATAGTCTTTTACAAGTTATGGGTAGCCACTTACCAGAGGACTTCTCGCTAAACCTGCTAATGTTAATACTTCAAAATGATGAAAATATAATGGTTTTCCTTACAAGGTTTGTGACATGATATCAAAGTGAATGATTGAGTAATGAACTTTCTTTTCTACCCTCTAGAATGTGTAAAATCAATATCGTTTCAGTTATTTAATATCATGTATTATGAAACATTAAATAAAACATTATATAGTCTAAGATTCTAAATTAAAAATCTTAATTTTGAATGTTGAGTTAGGGAATAGAATTTGAAAAAAAAGATAAGAGTTATTCTTTTTTATATAACTCATTATAAGATGTATAAAAAAAAAAAACCATCTAGAAAAAAAATATTTTACAAGGTAAATTATACATTAAAAATATAATTTATTTATGAATTTATTAAAATATTTTTAATGAAATTATTTATTATATTATTTTATTAAAAAAAATTTTAATAAATTCATAAAATAAACTATATTTTTAATATATAGTCTGAATTATAATATATGAATTCCAAACATATTAAGTCATTACCGATTTTCTATTTGCTGTAGCGATAACTTGAATTACTGTTTTTAACAATCAGGTATAATCTACGGCCAACTTTTATCCTCCTCCAACACAAATTGACAAGAGATCGTGGAAAGCTTTCGCAAGGAAAGGCTCAGTTGGCAGGCTGATGCGTAGCTAACAGCCCAACTTATAACCATTTTGAAGAAGGAAAGTACAATAAAAATGGGAATCCTTATATGGTCTAGACTGGTGCAACTACCTATCAAAAGAACATGGGAGTTTGTGGTAGATGGAGATACATAAATACAAAAAGAAAACTAGAACAGCCAATGGAAAGAGTTGGCGATACTATCATATTCCTTCCATAGAAAAGCCTCTTGCTCAAATGAGTATTCCACAATCTTAGTTGGGAAAGATATGGGCTCCTTTCACTGTTCCAGTGTCTTAAAACATAGGAATTGGATACTCATTTTAGCAAGATGCTTTGTGTGGGAGGCTTTCATAAGTGCAAAACAGTTTACATCTCCAGTAAAATGTCAGATCAAAGACACATTGCAATGGCTTTGCCGACACAATTGACTTCAAAGAGGTATGCAAAATAATTAGCAGTTTTTATTATTTTCTCTTGAATTTATCATGAATCTGATTGCATTGTCCATATCTTGCCCTTACCAGAAAAAGAGGGGAAAAAAAAGTAACTAACCTTTTTGTCATACATTTGAGCCCTTCAATTCTAGGAGTGAAGACTCTTAAGGGGTTAAGAGTTTGAGATTTCAAATTCGATCCTTAAGTTAGGTGAAGAAGGATTTAAGGAAAAGAAAGGGTTACTCCTATAACCCATCATTAACCGATGTTCAAAAAAAAAAAAAATTCTAGAAGTGAAACAAAGAGTTTATGCAAGAAATTGAAGGGTTTGTAATGAATCACAAAGGCTCCATTAAATGGCTTCAAGGGCACAACTCACGGGTTCACACGATGGTTTTAGGAGACAGAGTAAAGGTTATGGGTTGATTCTCTCAGAAGTCCAACATTTTGCTCCAGTTGCATCTAATCTGGATGCAAACTCTACCCTTTGGTTACTCTTCAAATTCAAATAATCAACCTGCAATTTAAGATCAACCAAATCAGAATGCAAGAAAGTGAAGAAACAAACAAAGCCCTCTTCAACCATCCACCCCCTTCAAACTCTTCCAGGAAAGTGGTGGCAGAAATGGATGAGAAATTAAACCTGATCTGGATCTAGAACCAACAAGCAAAAAGCACCGACTGGGCCTGTAGAGGAATCTATAGAAAGATCCTGAATTGGTTGCTCACTTATACAGGGAAGACCTGGATTAGGCCCCAGATATTGCAGCCGTGATTTAACAGAAGTAGAAAACCAGGCTTTCTCTCTTTGCTGCATGATGAATTTTGACAAAATCAGAAAAAACATAAAGAAGATGGGCATTGGGTAAGAAAACATTAGATTTCCTTTCCTTGGCATTAACGTAAATAATGTAATATCATCTGCTTTAACTGCTTACTGCTGACCTATGTTTTATTTAAAGACACTCATCATATAATGCTCTTTGTTCTCTGAGTTACAAAACTTTCCCAGGTTACATGAGCATATATAGTTTCAGAATCTTTTTTCACATGACATACATATTAACATATCTCCTATTATTTGATATACTGACAAGTATGCATAAGACTTGATTACATGATGACATTTTATCTTTCAATAAGTTACAGTCCAATTTCACGATGGGGTATAAATTTCTCCATATTTATTTATTTTCCTTGACAAAGAAAAGATTTCTTGGAGAAAAATCATTCTGAAAGATTCTAATGAAACATCTACACATCCTTTTGACTAATATTGAAAAGAAATTTTGCAGAACTGAGCCAAGCCATATCTGCTTACAGATGGGTTAGTAATTGATGATTATGTTCTAATAAACCACCATCACCACTCCACAAAACTTAAATATGTGCATATTAGCACAACTCCAATTAAAGTGCCAATCAAACAAATTCTGGGGATGTAGTAATCTAGCAGCTTTAGCAAGTCCCAATGTTTTCTATGCTGTTAATAAACTACAGGCGTGCAAAGTTGGTGGGATGGAATTCATTGTGACCTGAAGTTTCACAGAATCTGGATTCGAGCCATCAATAACATCAATTCTTCCACTGATCCGGAATTGCTCCCAAGATTCAGTAAAATACCAACATATCTGTAACAGCAGATATTGAATTTAAAATAACAATTAACCAGAAAGCAAGTTTAGGAAAGAGAAAGTATCAAATGGTTAGACTTAATTCAAATCACTAGAGCTCTATCAATTCAAAAAAAAAAAAAATTCCAAAAAATGGTAGTTTATACCTCAAATATTAATTACCTCAGCAAAGGGACATTTTTTCAGCTCTTCTATCTGCATAATTTAATTATTTTTTTTTTAAATCAATCCAATTTCCAACAAAACAAAATGCTAAAATAGTGAGTTATTCAGCTGTTTCAACAAAATTAACCAACAGAACAAAAAAATAATAAAAAATAAATAATTGAAGACAATTCCAAAAGAACAATACTTAGCTAAATTCCAAGGACATATTAAAAAAATTACGGATCATAAACTAAAGCACTTGGAATAGAAAATTTTAACGATATAATAAAACGAACCTTGCGACTTCTAGTATCGGTGTTAATTTGGATATTGTCACTGTTCTCTTGAAATCCTCTGTGAATTCAACCAAAAACACATTCAATTCTTCCAACAAACTCAAACACAAACAGAAAGAGGGTGAAGAAAAGTGCGATCACCGGAAAACGACAGTCCGATTCGAAGGCCTTCCGTTAGATCCGACTGTCGCCTGAAATCATTCACAATGGAAGGAAAAAGCCGATATGAACGAAGATCGAATCTCCAAAACAAAGAAATGATGGAGAAACTAGTGAAAAACAAGAAAGGAAAGGCGTACGAGCTGGAAGAAGGAGGAGTGCTTGAGGTGAGAATTGGAGTCCAGTGCGTTGAGGAGAAGCTGCTTCCATGGTGCCGCTACTGCTCCCATTTTTTTTGCTCCGTTTCAGTTTTGACAGTTGTAAGGTGGAATGGAAACTATAGAAAAAAGACCGTGTTTTTTTGCTACGGGATTAGTCCATCCTCTAGTAAATTTGTCATGGGCTCATGGTTAGGCTCAAGAGTCAAGACTGACCTTTAATCTGAAGCGGGCTTGAAACGAAATTGAACTCTTTTCAGGCCTATCTTTTTCTTGTTCATTTTTTGGGTTCGAAAGCCCAAAATCTTCACTTGATTTTATGTTTACAACTACTTTGTCAATTAAGACTCTTTTATTATTATATGGTTGTACTTTTTAATTTTGAATTTTAGTTTTTAAAGTTAATTGTCAAAAATTATAATTATTAATTTATTTACTATAAAAAAATTTTAAGCTCATACTTAAAACTCTAAATTTAATTAATTTATAAAATTACTTAATTT